AATTTGAAGATCACAGCTGTTCTTTCTCTTCTAAATGCACCTTTTAATATGAAGGTCAAAAATGTGCTTCTGTGCGTACCTAGGAAGGCCACAGCTGTGCTTCCAATATTTCCCAATCATCCTTGCGATTCAACCATTTTATTGCTTTATCTATGAATTTTTTTGTATACAACAACTCTGGTTGCAAAGGGCCAGCTATGCATCAGTTCAGACTTTTCTTCACAAACTGCTTCCTTACCAAGGTTGCTGTTAATTGCACTGTGAACTACAGAGAGGAGTTCTGCATTGTGCACATGGCAGGCCCATTGTTATTTTCTTGGTCACAATATGTGGGCAGAAAGAAAAAGGAAACACTTGTTTGTTAGGTTCCCATACTTCTAACTGTTAAAGTGCATGTGATAGTATTTCTAAAAATTGGATTTATATCTATCCACTTATCAGTCACGGTTGAAAAGTAGCTTCCTCTTGTTCACCCTACATTGGTTTTTCAGTCAGCATGATGTAGAAGAGAGGACGGCACAGACAAAAAAATATTTTCAGACCCTGAACTGTGTATTAGCACCTCTCCGACTGTAAGAAAATAAGAATGGCAATTGGTTCTATTATTTTAAAATAATTTTATTTATGAGATTGATTATATTTAGTGATTTCAACAGCCCCTCATTTTACCCTACTTTTCTAAATTACTTTTCTAAAAGATTTAAAATCTTTTAGGTAAACCTATGATTTCCCATTTGCTCACCTCTAGTTTTGGATCTTCATGTACCGAAACAGGTTTTGGATAGAGTGGTCTAGGGGAATAGGAAGGTTTGGGGGGGGGGGTTATGGGACACATGCCCCCCAAGTTATTTCAGTAATTTACAGCAAGACTACACAATCTATGCAGACACTACAGCCCTGGAGATTGACCATCCACATACATAATAGATAACTGTGTTAGTCGTGTTCAGGCCCGATTCATTATTAATGTGACGGCCGTTCCTTGTTTAAAATCTGCTGATTTTTATTTCCAACCTCAGTTCATGACAAATGAGCATGTTATTATGTAGAAGCGATCCGGCCTTTTAAAGACGGCTGGTGGTTTTCTGAAATCGATCACCAATTCTGACACATAAAATACAGGAAGGTGTTGAGCCACTAGCTTGTTAACCCTTAGGATGGCCGCAAAGGATGATATGGGGCCAAATATCTTAGGTTTTCCCTATATGTTAAAAGATGTCTGTACAAAGTGAATGGTTTTTCACATGCATATAGATGAGAAAATATGAAGAGAAATTGCTGTGGGTCCTTTTGCATCTGCAATTTTTAGCATGTTTTGTTGTGTACATTTTAGTTCATTTTCATGTGTTCTGGGTTTTTTTGTTTGGACATGAAAGTCAAATAAAGTAGATGTCACTAGAGGTTGGGTTTTTTTCAGGAGCTAAAACACATGAAAATGCATGCTACATGCATTTTTCATTTACTATCATTGAAGTTTACTGATGCCAAAAATGCACATTGATGCACCAGAAAAAAAACATTCCTGTACTATTTTTCTCAATGCACAGCAGCACAGCACCAAGGTGTGAATGGGCACCATAGGAAAAAAATTACAATTCCTTTTTGTGCATTAATACGCATTGGACAATGCTTATTATCACAAAGGTGTAAATGGGGCCAAAGGAGTGTGAGCCTTTGTACTTTGGGAGATATCTACCCATCCATGGGCAGCTTTACTTGATCACAGGGCTATATTCTTAGGTTATGCTGCCTTGGTACATCTTCATTGTAGTGCACCTCTGAAAAGGCTCTACCACTTATCCCACCTAAATATTACATAGCTACATTGGAGCAAAATGAAAGGACATTTATATTGAGAGGGATACGGAAGCTAGCATTGCTTACTTCTTTTTAATAATGTTTTATACATGACTGACCCAGACCAAACATACAGAGTAGAAGCACACTCGGATCCATAGCACCGCTGAAAACTCACTCCTCTTTGCATACACAGACAATCCGCATGCCGGCTCCCATAACCTCTCCCTGCTCTTCATTAAAAGATAAAAAGATATCAGTTGCATTCCAACTTTAGCTCTTGCTGCATTTATTTGACTGTTAGCAAAGTGACTTCATGGATTATGTTTACACACAAAAACCAACCTTCTTTGGCACATTATACTGCTCCCAGCTTGTTCACAAGAATAGGGGCAAGTCCTTTGCTGATCAAATAAATATAGGAAGAAGAGCTAAGGTTGGAGTATGGCTGTAATCTTTTTAACTTTACATAGACTAGAACAGTGGTTCTCAACCTTCCTAATGCCGTGACCCTTTAATACAGTTCCTCATGTTGTGGTGACCCCCAACCATAAAATTATTTACCCAGTAATCATAATTCATGAGTGTCGTTTTACCTCCAATACTGCTGCTTTCAACACAGTAGCTGCTTTTAACAGAGTAGCTGCTTTCAACACAGCAGCTGCGTTCTACACAGTAGCTGCTCTTTACACATCAGAAATATGTGTTTTCTGATGGTCTTAGGGGACCCCTGTGAAAGGGTCGTTCGACCCCCAAAGGGGTCGCAACCCACAGGTTGAGAACCACTGGACTAGAAAAACAGACTGAAGTCAGAACGCCCAATCTGCATACTTGTTTCTGGTTGAAGTTAATAGCATGACAGCCAGACACCCAGCATTTTCAGATATAAAGTAGGCAGCTCAGTACAAGTTTTTTTTTTAAAATCAGACCATACTATTGCAGATGGAACACAGTCTGATCTACATGCAGACCTACCATTGATCTGCACTGTCCATTTATTAAGGATCTGCAGAAAATAACAGAGCGAGTAAACAAAAAAGATACATATGATGATCATGATGTAGCCCTTTTCTTTCTGCTATCCTTTGCAGGGGCCCAGTATTTCATTATAGTATACATCTGCTTGGGTTTGATTTATCAGATCCAAAGGCTAGCATCTGATATTTATGTAACTTTGCTGTGCAGACATTTTTGTGTTAGGGCCTATTCATACTTGTCTGTTTTTCTGCACTAAAACATAAGCGCATGAAGCTGCATTTTTAAAGGGAAATTGTAACAGCCCATACATGTGTGCATTAATACACATGCTGAAACACACATGCAAAGGGCTGATGTGCTTGTTTTAGGCTGAATGTGCAGTTCCAAACCTTCCAACTTTCTGAGATAAGAATTAGGGAAAACCATGAGCTCAGCATACTGTATGTAGGCAAGGAACAGGTCCCTCTCTTTACAGGGACTACAGAGAATTAATGCACAGTTTAAACCCACAAGTATTATTTTCACTAATAGTTTTCCTTTTATGCCCTGTGTGCATAAGGCCTTAAGCTCTATGATATTGAACATTATGTTAACAATTGCAATGTACAATGCTTTACCCCCCAGAGGGAGAGGTTTAAAGTTTAACTACAGGCAAAATCAAAATGACATCTATGATACAGTTTGTACGTAGCATTAATACAGCTTTTTTTGTTTTTTTTGTTTTGTTTTTTTAATCCCCCCAAAAGACAGTTTTTTATTACCTGTTGATCCTGCCAGTAGACCCATTGGGGTTGATTTACTAAAAGTCGAGCATGCAAAATCTGGTGAAGCTCTGCATAAAAACCAATCAGCTTCCATATTGTATTGTCAAAGCTGAATTGAACAAGCTGAAGTTAGAAGCTGATAGACTACAATGCACATCTACACCAGATTTTTCACTCTCCAGCATTAGTAAATTAACCCCACTATTTTCCTCCGCTGTTCCTTCTCGTCTGAAATTTAAAAGTAAAAAAAGAACAATAAAAAAGTAAAGTTGATAGAATAGTAAATATTTAAAAAACTGACAAGAAAGCATTTTTCTTTTAATTTCTCTGTAACCCATTTGTGTTTCCTCATTTTGCTGTGAGCTGGTGACTGCCTTCTTCTTCTAATTCTACTGATAGCCCTGGGTGTTCATGCACAGACTGTCCCCACTTGTACGCAACTATGGCTGTTGGAGGCCCCCTAACCAGGCTTGTCAAACTGGTGGTTTTTTTTGGCCACTTACAGCTCTCTCACACCTTCTACGTGGTCCTCAGTGGTTTAGGAATTTACGTGGAACAAGGTCGCAGCTGTCTTCCAGTTGCTAATAGCTACACTTCCTTACATAATTTTGTAGCTCAATACTGCAATTATGTTTTAATCTCGATTTTGGGGCTTCCTACCATCTCTCCCTCCCACCCACCTCTAACCCATCCTACCAGACATTTAGATGTTCTTACCTTGTGAAGTCAACTATACTCACCTGAGTCACCCATCCAGGTCCCTTGATTTTTGACTGTGGGGATCTCTAGTACAGTGCCATGTGTTAACCCTTGTTGGATGGTCCCTTTGTTCCTCTCAGTCTGACATCAGATGTCTTTTGGATCATAAGAGAACCCCTCTGCTGCCCAACCAAAGGGAAATGTCCACAGCACTCAGGCAGTGGTGACGTGGATACCCGGAACAAAGACCCCTTTGTGAGAGGAGAAGTGCACGGCGCAGGATGATCATATGACCACACCTTAAGGTAAGCGAAACCAAGTTTCAGAGCGTTTATTTTTTTTTTCATCTCAGAGATCAGATAGTGAGGGGTGAAAGGGGGTGAATTTTATCCCTGAGTTGGGCTTTAAACTGGAGTTGTGGGAAAGAAAATGATGGTATATATAAATCATTCTTTCACCAGCTGTAACAGCAGTTTTTGTTTTTCTTCCTCCCCACTGTAACACCATTTTATTAGAAGTTGATCCTGCCAGTAAGTCAGAAGCAGCTCAATGCAACTGTATGAGTGACGGTGAAGGCAATTGAAGGCAACTCGGAAGCACATGACAGCATGTTACAATTGACCATATACTTCAGCTTCAAAGCCTGATCAGTAGGGTTTTCATGCTGCTTCTGGGTGGGTTTGGTTGGCCCTCATCGCAGCCAATTAGGTTTACTGAACAAATTCACAATTTAGTAATATTGTAAATCTTTCTCCCTTGTCACACAGAGGAAATGGCTCAGTCCCCGGCCCTACGGACGGAATATCTTGTGTCGGGCATGCGGACTCCCCCTGCCAGGAGGAACAGCAAGCTGGCCACGCTGGGCCGGATCTTTAAACCATGGAAATGGAGGAAAAAGAAAAGCGACAAGCTCAAACATTCGCCTGCAGGTGGGAGCAAATCTATTCATCTTTCTATATTTGTAGCTGTTATTTATCTATTCACCAATCGTGTTCCTATTCTTTAAGGCTGCAATGTAGGTAGAACAAATGCAGGGGCGGATTGACCATTTGGAAACTCGGGCACTGCCCGTGGGCCCAGGGTCAGTAGGGGGCCCTATGAGATGCCCCTGGTACCTTTTTCATAGGCTTTTTTGAGTTTGGGCAAGGACACAGGGGCCCCATGATCCCCTATTGCCCGGGAGCCCCATGTGCTGTCAGTCCACCCCTGAACAGATGACCCTTAATTGACTCCTACAGGCCTCACAGACAATATGTAACTCTCATTAATAATATTACAAATTGGAGGAAATAGTGCATGTAACTTTCAACCATCCTTCCAGCAGAGTAAGAGTAGTGGGTGGCAGAGGAAAGAAGTTTTTACAGTTGTCCCTTCAGGCATAAAAGAATGTTCATCCAATTAACTGTAACATCAGAAAACAGTTGTATGTACGTAGACTCTCCATATGTCTCCTGGTCAAGCAAGGGGGCAAGAATTAACTGTAGGGGATTAACGTTTTCCAACTGGTTGCTGTTGATTTTTTTGAGACAGGTAGGCATCTAAGAACGCCCTCCTTTTGAATGTGCATATTTGTACATGCACTAGTGAGAATGGTTATTTGGCAATGCATGCATGACTGGCTGCCTTATCTTAAGCTATCTTAAGGACTTAGAGCTTAATTACACTTGTAGCCTCCATCTCTCCTGCACCTCCATCCTGCACTTATTTATTTTTTTCATTAACATGCATTTTAAATGTAGTAGTTTTTTGCCTGGCCACATAACATCCCGTGGTTCTGCCTCTTCTGCTTCAGTGTTTGCAGTGGGTGGTGTTCAGTACTGAAGAGTTTGGCATTGGCGATATGTTGCCTCTCTGCAACATTGTACTGTGAGCCCAGTCAAGGTGGTGACGTACCCCTCCAGAGGTTGTTTCCGTCACAGCCTGGGCTCACATGAAGTGGTTTAAATGATGCTGTCTTTCCTTCAGCCTGGAGGAGGACTGGTGGCTGATAGCAGATTGGACGTTCAGTTGTTAGCCTTGCAGGTAACTGAAGTGAGAGCTGCATGGCTTTATTCTAAAACTTCTGGACATTTTATGCAATTAAAACAAGGTATTCTGCTTTACTATACTATATGATATGAACTTGTGTGAAAAGTGTAACCAAAGTTTTGGGTAGATTGGAGTGGGGGAGGGGGGATTATAACTCCTATCAGATTTTTATTGCCGTGTCCCCTATTAGCCCTGTATACGGGTATCACCGAGAATAAAAGTGAAAGAAAATCCCGGGTGGGGGTGGGTGTCACCAGAATAGGAATAGAGGAGAAATTCTCTAATAGGGACATTCGTTTGGGTGATCCTGGTGACAGCACTTTGGAGGGATTTCCTCTCTCTTCCTGTTTTGGCTATGGGAACATTTTTGCTTTCAGTTCTACTTTAAATACGTACAGAGCATTAAAGGAAGAAGTTCCTATGGAAGCAAAGTAAATACTTTGATCCAAACACCTAGGCATAAGAAGAATTTGATTGGTTGCTATGGGCACTCTGACAGTGGGCACTCTGGGCTTTTTTGACACATTTATATTTAAAGTAGAACTAAATGCAAAGCTTTTTTCATATTGGATACAGTACGGGAGAGTTTACCCCTGTCAGTTTTTTTTTTGTGCCTCTGTGTCCCTTTGGAGAGATTTCTCTTCATTTCCTGGTCCAAAGCCAAAACAGGAAGTGAGAGGAAATCCCTTCAGAGTGAGGGAATCCCTGGGTGTCCCCATTGGAATATTTCCATCTATTCCTGTTCTGATGATGACCCAAAATTTCAAATTTTCTTCCACTCTATGCTATAATGCTAACCAGGACAGATAGAGAGGGTGAACCTCCCTAACAGGGGCACAGACAGCGATAAAGAGCCAACAGGGATTCTAATCCCTCTATACTCTATCCCAGTGGTCTCCAAACTGTTGCCCCGGGGCCCTTTGCTTGCCTGTATCTGGCCTTGGGGCACTATTTCTTCCACTGACATCTACTATGGGGCATAATCCTGCCACCGATGCCAACAGTGGGGCACTAGTCCTCCCACTGACACCAACGACAGAGTACTATTCTTCCCAATGACACACCCACAAAGGAGCACTATTCCTTCCACTGACAACCACGATGGGGCACTACTCCTCCCACTGACACCCATGATGGGGCATTATTCCTCCCACTGACACCAATGATGAGGCACTAGTCCTCCCACTGACACCAACGACAGAGTACTATTCTTCCCAATGACACCCACAAAGGAGCACTATTCCTTCCACTGACAACTACGATGGGGTACTACTCCTCCCACTGACACCCATGATGGGGCATTATTCCTCCCACTGGCACCCATGATGGGGCATTATTCCTCCCACTGACACCAATGATGTGAGACTATTCCTCCCATGGACAAAAACGATGTGGCACCATTCCTCTCGTGGACTCCAATGATGGGGCATTGTTACTGATGCTGGCGATATTTTCTACTCCCACTGGCTACAAGTCTGGCCCCTCTAAAGTCTGATTGGTGGAAAACTGGCCCTTTGTTTAGAAAGTTTTGTGACCCCTGCTTGTCCAAAAAAAAAAAAACAGTTTTGTCTTTATTATTATTAACTGCAGTGTTGTGCACATGATGTATTTTGGAAATACAGACAAATGTTTTAGCAATTATTTGTTTATCCTCCAGGTCTGGAGAAGAAGAGCAGCACCAAGCAGAACCGTGATGAGGTCATTAGGAAAGGACTGATAGAGATTGTAGATATAGGTAAGATGCCACCAGCAAGCTTCAGCCAATTGACTACAACATAAACCATTTGCAGATCTATAAAATACCCTTTGGTTGAGTGCCCCCAAGGAGCCTATAGTCCGACATCTTTATTATATGTACACTGTATAAGCAAACGCCTAAACATTTAGATAGAAGAGAATGTTTTTGCATTATGGAAGACACAGGAGAGCATACTACTTTCATACACTTAGTGTCCCCAGGGGGAGTTAATCGTAGGACCCCTGCACTACCATTCTCAATCGCTAATCAATCAAAAATATAATCATTGTTATTGCATTTTGACAGGCTCTACATTTTAATCTTAAAGCTGAACTCCAGCTAAAAACAGATGAAATATAAATATGGGAGCTGCTTTACCTGCCAAAGGATTTGTAAATGTGTCTATTGTATATTTGTCTGTTTGTTGGTCACCCCACTTTTGTTTACTGCTGTTAAGTGATACAGTATGGTCACCCCCTGCTCCCAGTCTGTGACTGCACAAGGAAGGATATGAAACAGCTATTGTGGTGTTATTCTCCATCCTCTGTAACTGTGTTTTTTTATAACACATGTTCATGCAGAAGAGCCTGGTTGTCTCAGAGAACTGCTCACTTTCTCCCAGGCCATTTGTACAGATGAGCAGGGGGTGTATTTACCACAAGGCAAACAAGGCATTTGCCTAGGGTGGCATTTTTCAGGGGGGGGCAACACCCCCCCAGGAAGAAGAGACAGGGCTGCTTGATGGTGTATGCAGAGCCCGACTCTCATTCCCCGGGATGTCAGGAGCTGTGAAGTTGAGTGTCTTTCTCTCTGTTGCTGGAGGAGGCGGGGGGGGGGTGTGTGTGGGTATTTGCCTAGGGTGGCATTTCTCAGGGGGACCAGCACTGCCCCTCGGAAAAAGGGACGGAAGTAGGGACACATGCAGCATGGGAACCTGGTGGGTTTCCGAGAGAGGCTGCGGGTTTCATGACGGTGTATGCACAGCCAAACTCTCATTCCTGGGGATGTCCAGAGCTATTAAGGTGAGTGTCTGTCTCTCGCCATGGGGTATGGTGGCTGATGTATGGGGGGGGCAGTGGTAGTGAAAGCTCTCTTGGGTGGGAGGCAGGGGTGTTTTTGGTCAATGTCAGGCTCTCTCTGTGGGGGGGGGAGATGATTTTTTTGTTGCCTAGGCAGCACAAAACCTAAATACACCAATGAAGTTGAGGGTGATATGAAGACAGATTCAGGTGCTTATATTGGAAATACATGTGATTTTTCAATGCAAAACTCTATTACAATGTGTTTTTTATGTTTGCCAGGAAATTTGCGTTGAGAGGAGTTTTGGAGGCTGCCACTGCTGCTGACTTGCCTTCTGTAAATACTAGTTTCCTGGGTGTCACGCTGACCCAGTGGTTCTAATACTGAGTCACTGTTCCAAAGTAAAAAAGCAAATCAAGAGCTGTGACCTCACTCTGATTTTTTACACTGCATGTTTGTTCTAGGTCAGTGATTCAAAATCATTGAAGCTTGAAACGACTAGGCACCGAGTTTTCCTGGAAGTAGTTTGGTAATGGCAGACCTGGTATTCTACTTTGTACAGCTTTCTTTTAAAGTGGCTGTAAAGGTAAAAAGTTGTTTTTATCTTAATGCATTCTCTGCATTAAGGTAAATAAACCTTTTAAGAGCAGCCCCCCCTCCCCGCAGCCCCCCCCTTAAGCCCGGTTTCACATACATGCGGTGCGGTATATCGCATGTGATTCGCACAGGAACTGCACCACATTCCTGTGCAAATCACATGCGATTTGTAAGCGGTGCGATTTGAGCCATACATTTTGTATGGCTCTAATCGCACCGCACCAAAAAGATTTTTTTTAAATTGCCAAAGCTTTAATATCACTTAAAAGATTCAAAAATAATGTGTATAAATGTTAATTTAATATTTAAAATAAATTGCATTGCTGTAAAAGACACTTTTCAAATAGAACTGATGTGTGCGTCTCACATCAATTCTAAAATCCAGGGAGTCAACCCTTCAGTACATGAAAGAAAATCCATGCAAGAAGTCTCAAAGTGTGTGATGGACACCAATTGCCAACACTTGGGGTGCTCACTCACCAAGCTGTAGGACTGCACATGTACAAAGCTCAGTATACGTCTGCTTCCATCGGGGAAAAGCCAGGGGTGTATTTACCACAAAGCAAACAAGGCATTTGCCTAGGGTGGCATTTTTCAGGGGGAGCAACACCCCCCCAGGAAGAAGAGACAGGGCTGCTTGATGGTGTATGCAGAGCCCGACTCTCATTCCCGGGGATGTCTGGAGCTGTGAAGTTGAGTGTCTTTCTCTCTGTTGCTGGAGGGGGTGTGTGTGTGTGTTAATGGAAGGTTCTCTTGGGTGGGTGGGGGCAGGGGTGTTGTTGGTGGTCACTGTCCTGCTCTCTCCAGGGAAGGGGGGGGGGGGATGGTAGTCGCTCTCCTTATCCACAGAGTAGAAAAAAAGACTCCAAATAGCAGAAGATTGACTGTAAAATGTACTCAACAGCAGACTAGATAAAACAAACAGGCTGGAAGTTACAGTCGGCATTGTCGGTAGGATTTCTGACAGCGTTGAACGTCAGTCCGTTTAGCTCTTCCCAACACATTTAGTCAAATGGGACATCCTCAGGGGCTCTAGGCAGACTCATACATCTCACTTAAATATTAATGAAAATTGCAGCCATAGCCATTTCTACAATACATTCGGTTTGCAATACATCCACAGATCCACAGCCCTTATCTGTGTAAACGTGTAAAGATGTGTAAAATAAACCGAATGCAAAATATTACGTTGCATTCTTCAAATAATAGCAGGATTGGCAATCATAGTCACCACTGCAATACATTGGCAGGTCTGCAATATATTGGCAGATGATTTTTAAATGTACACATCATAGCCCACTGCAGGGGCGGACTGACAACTCATGGGGCCCCCGGGCAATAGGGGATCATGGGGCCCCTGTGTCCTCGCCCACACTCAAACCACACCCAAAAAAGCCTATGAAAGGTACCAGGGGCATCTCATGGGGCCCCCTACTGACCCCAGGCCATCAGGCAGTGCCCGAGTTCCCAAATGGTCAGTCCGCCCCTGGTCCGCTGTAAGTTGTAGCCTGCTTGTGTAGTTTGCTCAATAAATTTTACCAATGATATTATTTTATTTGGAGCTTTTTTTCTATTTTTTCTCTGTGGATTGGAAGAACATCTACCATCCTAAGGTATTAGGAAAGGTGGGTGACCTAAGGGCTCATTCACACTAGTGGTTGAGTGTCAGTAAAACCCTGCTGTTGAGCCATGTTTTTACTGCCCCCCAACCGCTCCCCCTTTAGCTGAAAGGCAGCAGCTGGTGGTGTACGCATGCCCCAGCTGTGATGCTGCTGCAGGAATTATACCCCCTATCAGTTTCAGCAGGCATAGTGCCTACTGAGCACGACCTTTTCACCCATTCAAGTGCGTTGCATGCATATGCGCATGCTAGTGCAGGGCTCAAGGGCTTAAAGCAGACAATGAGGAGGCAATACAGTGCCTGTCAAATGCTCTCTGAAGAGCAATCTAGCAAGTTTGAACAAGCCCCAAGAGTGCAGGTGCAGATTCTCCCTAATGGGAATAAATGTGTACTGACCTCTGTACATGTTTGGTGAGTGTGCAGCCTGTATGTTTGGTGGCAGTTGCACAGATTTCCTCTTGTACTGAATAGATTCATAACTTCACCTTTCATTACATGTTACATGTTGTACCTATATCCAGGGTGTATCATGTTAATAAATGAGCAGCCCTCGCACCCTCCTGAGCCCCCCGTTGTGAGAACGGGCCGGGGATCTTCTCCCCACACCCGCTATCACAATAAAAAAAAAAGCTGCTGTGCGGGGCTCCGCCTGTCTGCCGTCATCATTCATTCACAGAGTTCTGTGAATAGAAGAGCTACAACTACCATCAGCCATTGCGGCTGAGAGCTTGTAGTTCTCAGTGAACTACCAGGGCGCTGGTGAGCGCTCTAGTAGTCCATTTATTCTTCCCGTCATTCAGTAACTGCCTGCCCATACAAGGTATAGCCAGACAGCTACATTGACCATCTGCAGGAGCCTGATATTGCACCCACAGTCTGTTGATTGTGGGTGCAATGCTTTACAAGCCCCTAATAAAAAAATATTATAAATGCACATTTTTTTTAACTATAAGCAGCCCTTACACCCTCCTGAGCCCCCAATGTGAGAATGGTCTGGGGATTTTCTCCCCACACCCGCTATCACAATAAAAAAAAAAAAAAAAGTTGCTGTGCGGGGCTCCGCCTGTCTGGCTAGAGCATTCATTCACGGAGTTCTGTGAATAGAAGAACTACAACTACCATCATCCATTGCGGCTGACAGCTTGTAGTTCTCAGTGAAGTACCAGGGCGCTGGTGAGCGCTCTAGTAGTCCATTTATTCTTCCCGTCATTCAGTAACAGCCTGCCCATACAAGGTATGGCCAGACAGCTACATTGACCGTCTGCAGGAGCCTGAGATTGCACCCACAATCTACTGATTGTAGGTGCAATGCTTTACAAGCCCCTAACCAAAAAATATTATAAATGCAAATTTTTTTTACCTACAAAAGGATGTGCATTTATTACTTTTTTTTAAAAAAAAGATGAACTTATCCTTGAAGGGCTGACCCCCAGGATACCAGGATTGGACACACACTCTGGTATCTAAAAGGTCTGTTTACATAGCTACAATTTATATTAGATTCTGAACAAAGTCTTTATAAATCATTCTTTAGCGGCAGGTTGAGTTGTTTATTTTATATAAATAACTAATGTAATGTAACATACTAAAACACGGATTTTATTGTGACTGTAGGAAATGTTCCATGTCACTGTTTTTTCCAGGGAGGGATCTTAATACCCAGAGGCTGTTCCTGGCAGCTGGGGAGAGATGGAAGCAATGGATTTATATTATAGCTATAGTTGGAGAAACCCTTTAATGTTCTTTCTCCATAATGTGTTGAACATGAAGGTCTTTCTGTAACTCCGCGCTCCTCTCAGTAAGCATGTAAACACAATGCCGACTGTGTTCAATTAAGAGGAATCCTGCAAAGCTTACTGGGCTGTGCAGTCACGCTGCTCCAATTATTTGCTGCTGTTCTCTTGCTGAATCACAAGGATATTACGTGGGAGCTTTTAACATGCAGTTTTGTATTCCCGCCCACATGTAGCTCACTGATATGCCAGTTTAGCTACCCTGTCATTTCATGGCTCCGTTCTTGGCTACAGAGTACATTCCAGCTTCCAAGATATTTTTGATTACACAAAGGCTGATCCTTCCCCCCTTAAAGGGAACTTTGTAAAGTGCATGTAAAGACAATTTTTTTTTTAATTTGATAGTGTAGGGAAAGGTCAGAGCGTTTGCCAAGTTTTTAGTATTGTCTGTATCCCTGATGGGGAAATTTGCTCCCTCACCTCGTCCTGGTTATCTGTCATCAAGACAGAGAATAAGGGGAACTCAAAATTTTACACTAAAGGAAGAGGTCATGAAAAATCCTCTATTGAGGACATCTGTTTTTCTGACAACTTCATTTATTTAGGAGTGATTTCTTTTTATTTCCTGGATGGGAGGTGAAGCAAAATCTCTCCAGCAGGACACAGGCAACAGAAAAGATCCTAATTCTTCCATACTCCATATTTAAAACAAACCAAAACATTGTCTTGGCTTTACACACAGTTTGAAGCAGGGGCGGACTGACAACTCATGGGGCCCCCGGGCAATAGGGGATCATGGGGCCCCTGTGTCCTTGCCCAAACTCAAAAAAGCCTATGAAAAAGGTACCAGGGGCATCTCATGAGGCCCCCTACTGACCCCGGGCGCTCAGGCAGTGCCAGAGTTTCCAAATGGTCAGTCCGCCCCTGCTTTGAAGTAAAAGTGGACCCGTAATAAGCGAAGCATGGAAATGACCATGGCTAAACTCTTTCTGAAAGTGTTAACTGCTTGGCTAACTCTGGCTACCATACTTTCAGGCACTGACCTGAAACAAGTATGCAGATCCGGAAAAAAAAACATGGGGGTTGTTTATTAAAACATGCATGGTGCAAAATCTGGTGCGCAGAAACCAATCCACTTCGAGGTTTTATTGTCAAAGCTTAATTGAACAAGGTAAAGTTAGAATCTCCCTCATAATGAATCTGAATTTCCAATCTCCTGCCAATATTAAAGTTGGTGGATCAATATGTACAAATATCGGTAAACAAGTTGCATTGAAGCAGACCAAGTGTTAGCCACTTTGGCCGGACGGGAGCAGTTCTGGAGCGGGTTGCTGTTTATAAACGGTGCCCGCCATTTTAGCCTGTGCGCGATCCCTGGGAGCGTGTGGCACCACGATCCGGTGCCCGCTGTGTCCTCTGAACACCGATCGCTGTATGGGACCTCTGTGTGAGGTCCCGATCATGTGATCACTGATTGGCCAATCAGTGATCACATGAATAGTAGTAAGCAAGATATCACTTCTGACATCATTGCTTACTACGTGTGAAATCTGTGAATGATCACAGAGATCACATGGTACAAGGCTATTCACAACAGCCTTGTACCATGTGACAAGCATGACCAATCACAGCTCTCACAGTATTTCTCAATGGCTGAAAGAATGCAGCCAGAAAGAAAGAGAAGTTATTGCTTTTACAGCCTTTATGGGTGTAAAAGCAATCAGTGTAAAAAAAAAAAATCTTCATCACCCTCCACAAGTAGTACAGTATCACTATGGTGACACTGTACTGCTAGGGTGACAGTATGTTAAAAAAAACATAAATAATAATATAAAAAAAAATTTAAAAAAAGTTTGTAAAAATTATAATTTTTGGTTATAAACTAATTTGGGTTATTTTTTTATTTACTAAAAAGATAACTGAATACATTTTGGCCATGATTTATGAAGAAAGATTATTTGCAAAATTTTATAAGAAAAACACTTTTTTTTCAAACTTTTTTGACTTTTTCATTTATATAGCAAAAAAAAGTTAACCAAAAAAAAAAAATAAGAAGTTGTAATCCTATACCTACCATTGATCCAGAGGAAGGAAAAAAAACCCCCCAGCAAAGCATGATCCAATTTGCTCCTGCAGGTATATTCCCTGGATCAACTTTACTTACAGTAGCTTTCCTTACTTACAGTAGCTAGAAAAAAGCTGTTAGGAGCATTTTAGTAACGTTATTCTATTCATTTATACACTTTTTATGGATTTATTTTATGCTTTCCATGTGTTTTTATGTGATCTGTGGTCCTTATATGATTTATATTATCTATTCTATATGGCATCACTCAAATGATGTCTGCATTTATGTTTACATTCTTATTTATGATGACATGTAAAAACAGCTCATGTGACGCCAGTCTCCACCTCTGGTGCAACCAGGGACGGCCCACTTGTGTTTCTAGAATCTGCATTAGTTACATATATAAGAGAGGTACTGACTCACTGCTTGGTGCCTCTGAGGAAGAGGTTGAGACCTCGAAATGTGTTAGCCTGTTCAGGGGCGGACTGACAACTCATGGGGCCCCCTGGGCAATAGGGGATCATGGGGCCCCTGTGTCCTTGGCCAAACTCAAAAAAGCCTATGAAAGGGTACCAGGGGCATCTCATAGGGCCCCCTACTGACCCCGGGCCGTCGGGCAGTGCCCGAGTTTCCAAATGGTCAGTCCGCCCCTGAGCCTGTTGGAAATCCAGGGTTCCATTTTTTTGGACTTCTATGCAATTTGGATTGGACACCGCTGTCTAGCGTGATGTGCCTCTGACCTGTTTGCCTATTGTGAGTACGATACTTACTTTTTATCCTTCCAATAAAATTTGTTATGATAATGCACTAGGCCGGTGAGCCCTCTGTTTGTTTTTCTTTGTATCCAGAGCAATTGGTGTGTAGTCTCAAAATTTGAGTGTGTCATGAGGATGAGTACACAAGCCCACAATCCCGCCCATTCACTACAATTTGCATAGCATCATGGGAACTGTATTTTCTCATCCCTGTGCTGTGAGAATGCAGGATGTGACGTCTATGCCTACTTTACTCCTCCTCCTGGGACTGGCAGAATCTGATGGTTTCTTTAATTGGAGTTGTGACGTCACAGAGTTTTCTTTCAGTTTATCTTCTAAACGGTGAGGTTTATTTCTTACTTGGTCAAACTTTATAGGTTTTTCATAGGTGATACTACTGATTGGTACTTTAGTGTATCCCGGAGTTCTTCTTTAAAACAACTGAGGGGACAACCACAGAGGCATAGACTTTTACATGCTATTTCAATCACTCTCTGTTTTGCATTCAGTAGGAAAGCCTTCACACTGATGGCTTGCTCATGGTTATTTCTTGATGAATACTGCCCTCTTATGGATGATTAGTAATATTACAGTCTATTTGGTGAAAAGATACAGTAGCCATTTCTTATGCCGTGTGTGTTTTATTTGTGTATTTTTATATATATATATACATGTGTTTGTGTGTTTGCAGATGCAATCAAAACATACAAACCTACACAATAAAAGCATTTCTGTGTATTTACATTTGTTTTCATTGGACCTGCTTAAGGCATGAAAATGCAGCAGATCCTAGATTTTAAAAACGCACTAAGCTAATGCATGGATGGGAACTAGTCCTAAAGGACTGAATTTCTACTTTTCATTTTAAAAAGGATGCATGTATGAACAGGCGTGGGCTAATCTATTCAGTTTACAGTGGAAGTGAGGAAGTTTAGTTCATAGAAGCCAAGTTTCATTCTCCTAGCGGAGGGTTACAGAATAAAATCTGCTACTAGATTGGCTGCAACGGGCAACAACAGAGACTCAAAAGAGATGCATCAGACCAAAGACAAGCTGGTACGATAATTGGATCCTGTCTAAATTGGCCCTAGTATGTATGTATGTGTATGTATGAATGTGAAATCGGGACCTTAGATTGTAAGCCCCTTTAGGGCAGGGACTGATGTGAATGCATAATATAGAAGGGATGCATACATTGATAGCACTATACAAGTACCTGTAATAAATGAATAAATACATTAGTACATTTGGAATTTACATTACATTATTAGGAGGCATAAGGAATCACAGGTATGAGGAAAGATGGACTTCACTCAATTTATATCATCTGAGAAGAGGTGAATAAGTGGGGATATTATTATTATTATTATTATACAGTATTTATAAAGCGCCAATAGTTTGCTCAGCGCTGTACATTACAAAGGGGGACAGAACATGTGACAGAACAATACCAATACAATGCAAAACATGAGGGGATTGAGGGCCCTGCTCTTTCGAGCTTACAATCTAGGAGGGAGGGGATGGTGGCACAGGAGGAGATAGCTGCAGGGGACGGAGTGGTAGGAAGAGTGGAGGAGGTCGGCAAGTTAGCAGGGGGTGGGGTAGGCTTCCCTGAAGAGATAGGTTTTCAGGGTGCGCCTAAAGGAGAGGAGAGTAGGTGATAATCTGATGGGTTGGGGCAGGGAGTTCCAGAGGATGGGTGACACCCTGGAGAAGTCCTGGAGGCGGGCATGGGAGGTTTTATGATCACCTTCTATAAAAATCTAATAGTCCATATAATAAAGTCAGTGGAAAGTTGTTCACTTTAAAGTCTAACTGACCCTTGTCTACTTGTTACTGTAATGCAGTCAGGCTGCATATACAGTTATGAATACATTTGTGGTTTTGTTTTTTGTTTTATGTACAGTACTTGTTGGAGTGCTGTTTTCACACAAAACACTGTGGCCAAGTTCTCCAAAGGTCCATGCAGTCATCCTCTCTCCTGAGATGGGCTGTGGACTATGGTATTTGTAGTGTGCATAGAACAGTGCACATGACTGCAACAAATGTGAACTATTAGTTCAAAACAAATCGAAATGAGGGGAGAAAATGAGAGGTTTGGGAGCTCACAGGAGGACCTTACAAGGAGGCAGAAAGACACAGTAAGAAATTATTTATTGAAAACTAGATTATAGGACCATTAAATAGTAGTTGTGTATGGATTATTTTTGGAGAATAGGATATGGTTTATTGTCCCTTTAAGGTCACCACAAGACACAGATGCACTCTTTGGCACTGGAGGAAGATACGGGAGTTAGACAAAAAAATGGAAGCACTACATGATTTGCAGGTCTGAAAGTGACGACATGTTTCACGATGAAAGCGGAAGTGATGTAACATTTTGTTGCTTCTGCTGTGTAATGAGACACCTAGCTAACAGGTGGGAAGCCTCACTTTCGTCTTTCACTGCATGTACTGCTAGTAATACGGAGTCATATCAGAGCTTACTGAGCTCAATCTCGGTCTTCACGGGACTGAGATTGAGCTCTGCAGTCACTTTTGCCACAGTTTTCTTATTCCGGGTCACAATCCTGCACAATGTCCTTTTGTGTCTTTCGGTCAGTTGACTATGTAAGCCGTGCTTATGCTTATCAGACGAGGTTTTCTCGGAAACTGTATATGCCGTCATAACCTTTCATACTGATTGACAATTAGCATCATCTGAAGGCAGGTGACGCTGCCTGTATAACGTCTCTCCTGCTTGTGCAGTTTTTTCTTATTCATTTTAATGCTATTGATTGTTCAGATCCTGATTCTAAAGAGAGCCCATCAGAGGACACCACGACTGAGGACTTCAGTGATTATCCCTCTCCAACAAGCCAAGCACCTTCCCCTGAAGAGACCCTGCAAGAAATCTTATCCGCAGCAAATATCAACTCCCTGGATGAGGACCAGCATGAAGAAGAGGAAGCAAGTACGGTGAAGAACATCTGATTTTTATTTGGTTCTGATTCTGTTTTTTTTCTTTGGTTAAACAGGTGATTTTGCAGAATTTCAGAAGATTGGTAGGTGTTAAGGCCAGAGATGTGTTTTTCAGATATTAATGGCCAGTTTCGCACTGTGTGCCCAGCTCTTCAGAAATGTCAAAATATTGATGAGGGGGGGGGGGGGGGTGTATCTGCAGTAGGCCAATGCAGGTTAAAGTATGTAAACAAGAATGGGATGTTATAAGGTCCAATAAAATGAAGCCTGTTCATTCTTATTTCTCATCCCTGAAGTATATTATTCATATGGAAAGGTCCACAGTGGGACTGCAGACACCTCATTGTTGGTGTCACTGGCCCCCTAGTGGACTTTCCATAACAATATATTGAAAGTGTATAATAAGAATCTCACAGCAAAGCCCTTTTTGTCATGGCAGAGCATAGCATGGGTCTTCTTCTTCTCTCACGCTTATTCATTTATCACCTAAGGTAAAATGCAGATGACGTTGGAAGAAGAGCTGAAGGACTCTGTGGAGAAGACATTACAAGCCTTACTGCTCACTGAATCTCTAGAGTCTCCACCTCCAGAGAGAAAAACACAACACTCCTCAGCAGCCCTCCGCTACTTCCATTGATCCAGCCTAAGCTATCCACATGGGTAAACCAGTGTGTACCAGGTAAGGGAACCCCTGACATATCAAGCATGCCATTCAAAATACAGCAGAACAAAATGGTAATGTCATTCGAGGAAATATATCACATTCTAGCTGTCAAAAACACTAAAAGCCAGCCTCAGCTGAATGCATTTGATAGTGCACTCCAACCAAATGTGAAATTTCACAACCAGGCTGACTCTGCGAACACAACTTACCTGATTAAAGCCCAGCATTCACCTTCACATTGGAACATGAGGGGGAGGTTGCACAAACCATGAGACATAAAAGTGTCATCCCTTCTATCAACAAAAGGAAACCTGCTGCATTTGGCTAAATGTAATTTATTTAAATACAATCCAGGCTAATGGTATTTTTTGTATACTTTTTGGTGTTACTGCCAAACACCAGATAAAACTTTTTGTTTTGTTTGGAGAGAGAAGGTAGTGATTTTTGGGTGAAGACAGGAAGTGATGTTTCCAATCATAGTACAGACAAATAAAACACATTGCTTGAAGAGTTAAAGGAAAGTTAAAACTTCTGACTGCAAGCTTTGGACTCAGACACTCCACAAGTTGATGAGGTCCAAATAAGATGCCTCCTGTGCCAGAGGCCAATCCCAAGCTCTTGGATTGCCTAGGTAGCAGTCTTTGTGTATGTGCAGATAGTTAGGGAAACTGGGGCCTGTGCAGATGCACACATCTTGGAACCCGAAGTCCTACAGCACATTTGTGAACGCTCATAGGGCAGGGAAAACGAAACATAATTTTCTTCTAGGTGAAATGCTTAAGTGCTGCTTACTTTGTTGAAAAAAAAAAAAAAAAATAATAATAATGACCATTTGTAAGACAGGAGGGGAGAGGAGGTAGGGCAGCACAACATGACCTTTAGGGTGACGGTCTGCTTTACTTTTCTGCCTGGAGTTTCACTTTAATAACAATAGGCCTTAGCTATCCAAATATATGCAACAAGAACTGTCTGTATAGCTGAGCTCCTAGAACGTGATTAGCACTGTACTCCTTGTACTGTTGCCCACAGGTACAGAAATGGAAGACATCACCTCCCCTCCAGCGGGCATCATGAAAATTCCTGCCTCCGTTGGCTCCTCCCATATCTCAGGACACACCAATCTCTTCCAGCCATCTGGCCAGAAAATCTCAGAAAACAACGGTTCAGTGATGAAGGGACAGAACCCGACTCCAAAAGGCTCCCCAATTCTGCCTGCCATGCATATGCCTTTACCTCCCAGCCGAGTCATTGAGGAACTCCACCGGGCACTGGCCACCAAACACCGCCAAGACAGGTGAATGCACATACAATGCAAAACATGGCCGTAAGAGAATTACATTTATATTATAGCAAAGGAAACCTATAGGAATAGAAATAGGGGAGCTGCCATTACTGATCTGGTTATTAAAAGGGCAGGCTCTGGCCATTTATCCTGATTCTAGCTGCACTATTTATTGAGGCATTGACTTGAAGCAAATATGCAGGACAGGAGATCGTACTCGCTGGACTTCACTACCTGCATGCTTACATGACAAGCTGCCTGAATGCACATGACACACTGGGTCCTATCCCTCTTCCATCAGTTAGTAATCCTCCAAATGCAGAGATCAGTGCTGATATGAGTCCTGCTATATGCATGAAAATACTTTGATTAATGGGCACCGTCGTGATGTACCCTCTGTGGGAAGACCAATGGCACCCTGCAGTCACAGTATCAATTCAGTACCCATAGGTTGAATGATGCTGGGAGTCATTTATCCCAGAAGACTGAGGATTTGAAAAATATCAAACATGTTATACTTACCTGAGCTATGCAATGGTTTTGCACAAAGCAGCAATAATCCACCTCTTCTGGGGTCCCCCATTGGAGCTCCTAGCTTCTCCCCCTGCTGAATACCCCCCCCCCCTCCCCAGCAAGCCGCTTGCTAAAGGGGCTACTCCTGGGGTTCACTCCCGATCCCTGCTGTCAGTGTCTATAGACACAGACAGCGGGGCTTTGCCCTTCCCCACCTCTCCATCATAGGATTTGATTGACAGCAGCATAAGTCAATGGCTCCCATTGCTATCAATCTGCCCTGCGAATAGGGAGAAAGCAGAGAGCAATGCTGCCTTTGTGCACATCACTGGATTGGAAACGGGCTCAGGTAACTATAAGGGGGGCTGGGGGGGCATCCTGGACACAGAAGGTTTTTTTATCTTAATGTAGAAAATACATTAAGGTAAAAAAACAGTAAGGTTTTACAACCACTTTAAAGTGAGTATTGCAACCTAACCTAATTTTGCATTTTTTGAATCTTCTAGGAACTATGCTAATTTTAAAATAATTGTGCCTGGAGTTGAGCTTTAAATTTAACTTATTGGTGACTCTCTGGGAATAACAACGCTTTTCAGTGCTAACACTCCTATATTTGTTTCCTGACTTATTTCTCCAGTTTTCACAGTCGGGAAGTGAAGTCTTCTCCAAAGAAGAGGGGGTGGAATTTCGAACCTCACGGACCTCCAGCACTGAGAAGAGCAGAGACAGCTCCACTGAGAGCGACTGTGAAAACAAGTGCGGCTCAGTAAAAGAAGCCGAGGAAAACAAAGAAAACTTGATCAGGGATTCCAGCCATAAAGACAACGTGCTGTTATATGAGGATGAAGATGAACTCAACAGCTCTGTTATCTCTGGTGAGAAAAAAAAAATGTACAACACTTACACCCAAATGACACGTTTTTGACCTTTCTAAATCAATGTGGTTACTTTTTCTCCCTTGTGAACAGAGCTGTGAGTATATGTGGTGGGATGCATAGCAAAAACATTCTCTAAGGCACTTTTTTCTAGAAAAATATCATACTAATTGCTTTGTTAGCAATTATATAGATATAACCAAACCAGACAAAACTCTTTTCTGTTTGGGATAGAATAGGGTTGAAACAGATCCACTATCAGGTTTTTACTGCCGCATGTGTCCCAACTAGGTAGATTCCCCATTTTTCTTGGCAACCAATGTCACAAGACTGAAAGTGATGAAAAATCCAAAGTTTGAGTGTTTAGAAAATGTAAAGAATCCTTTCTATAGGAACACCTTTTCTAGTGAAAACTGTCTAAGAGGTGAATTGCTCTCATTTTGCAGAGCGTTCCTCTCAATTCCAATTGCATCTCCAGAGCAGGAAATGAAGAGCAATCTCTCTAATGGTATGCAGACTGCAAAATATTAACTCACATGGGCTTCAGCCATTCCCTGAGCTATAAAAAAGAAAAGTAAACTTACCTGCCAGCCCACAGTCTTCCTCATGCCTGTGTGCTGGAAGGACAGAACTCCTGAGCAGGCACGAGTTACATCATCCCTTACTGGCAGATCAACATGGCCAAAGACTGGCACCTGGAACAAGTCAGGGAGAAGATGCCAGCAAGGGATCTTGTGAATGTCAGACACTTGGAGAAGAGGTAAGTATTGCCGACTTACAGTGATTGTAAAGGCTTGTGTTTTTATTAATAATAAACATGTCATACTTTCCTGCTCTGTGCACTGGTTTTACACAGAAAAGCCCTGAATGTCTGCTTCTGGGGTCGCCCGCTGGTGCTCTTGGCTCCTCCTCTTTTCCAGTTGCTATGGGGGCACTCGTTTGGACTCCATCCTGAACTGAGCATCTACTGACACACAGAGCGCAGCTTGGCCTTACCCCTGGCTCCCTTTTCACGGGATTTGATTGACGGCAGCAGGAGCCAATGGTTCCCACTGCTTCCTCTGAGTCCTCTGAGGAGAGAGCAGTACTGCTGCTCTCGGGCACACCGCTGTATTGATGTGCACATTGTTCAAGTTGTTAAAGCAGAGCTCCACCCAAAAGGGGAAGTTCTGCTTTAAAGATTTTCTCCCCACTCTCCATTAAGGATTGGCACGTTTAGGGAGCGGGTACCCGAATTTGACAGGTACCCACTCTCACTTCTGCTGCCATCGCCTAAGCAATCAGAAGCAGAAGTTGTCCTCCCCCCTCCCTCCCTGCAGTCTTCTGGGACACGTGACAGGTCCCAGAAGACTACATTCACAAAGCGCAGCGTTTCTCTCACATGCGCAGTGGGCACCCGGCTGTGAAGCCGCAAGCTATCACAGCCGGGTGCCCATACTGAAGATGCCGGAGCCAGGGAGAGAAGACGGCCGGTGAAATCAGCATTGCTGAGGACACCGCTGGACCGAGAGATAGGTAAGTGTCTGTATTTTAAAAGTCAGCAGCTACAGTTTTTTGTAGCTGCTGACCTTTTTTTTTTTTTTTCAGATGGAGCTCGGCTTTAATACTGGTGAATGTTTTATATAGTTAAAATGTAAGTAGCACCAACATTTTTACATTCCAGAGGAACTATTGCAGGTCTCTTCTGCAAAGTGCCAGCCTGCTCAGAATGATTTTTGTTCCATTTTAGATCCCTTCAAACTGACACACACCACACTTGCTCAGTGTCGCAAAAATTGATGTAGTTCCAGCTTTTACCACAAGAGGGAGTAGATAGCTAAAGGTACATTTATTTATCCTGTGAAGTGTAGAAGAAGCAGCAGTGCCTAAATATCACATCAACCATTTACACTGTTCTGCACCTTGCCAACATCTGATATGTATAGAATATGTACAGGGGTCTCCAAACTATGGCCCTCCAGCTGTTGAAGTACTACAAGTCCCATCATGCCTCTGCCTCTGGGACTCTTGCCTGTGGCTGTCAGAGTCTTGCAAGGCCCCCATGGGACTTGCAGTTCCTCAACACCTGGAAGGCCATAGTTTGTTGACCCCTGGTATATGTATGTCAAAACTGTATAATATGACCTACTATACTATCCAATCAATTTCTATCTGGTCAAGCATGTCTTTGCAGCACATACTTGTAGGTAGATCTAAAGGTCTATGTACAATCAGGTTGTAACATGTGTAGTGAGCTTTACAGTGTATTTTTTAGGCCTGAACTACGAAGGGTGGTTTATAGCAGTTCAATTTTGACACATAAATTGATTAAAATAATAACAAAGTGTAAAGAACAACCACTTACTGACGGAACAAAGGGTTCCTTATAGTGTAGACTGACACCATCGAGAACCCTTGTTTCCACAAGAAAGCAATTTATTGTACTCTTTGTATTTATTCAAAAACAATTTTGTCACGGTAATCAGTGGTGTATTTTTTTGTTTTTGAGTGGTGTGTTCTTTTTTTGATGCATTTTGCATTGAAAACACATCAAAATGTGTGTCACCCTGCACTGTGCATCAAGGCATCATGGTCAATACCTTCAGGTTATAGAATTTCTGGTTGTCCTCCAACACAGGTTAGTAATTAATGCATTCCCCTAGCTTTCTTCTGATTATGTAACACACACAACCTCAGTAAGGTAAGACATTAGCTGACATTACGCTGTACCTCACTAGCATAACTTTACCGCACATTAGCAACAGGCGTATCAATTACGCCCTGTTCTGCGGGTGGTTAAATGTAGTCAATGCCCTGAATCAAAGGAAGGCCTGTGTGCACGGAAAAATAGCTTGTATCTGAGATCAGTTTGAGATGCATTTACACAGTAACAGAAGCTCCGTAAATGTCAGCTCAAAAACTGGTTTCCCAATCTGATGAAAATACTTTACAAGGTTATGTCATAAGCAAAACACAGATGCTGGCATTGCAGTTATCAAACTCCTCAAGAGCCATAATATACTTACGGGTGAGTGTTTTACTGCATGATTCGCTGTTTTGACACTCATTATGTTGAAGCAGCTCATCTATTTCTTACGGGACTGTAACAATGCAAGTCAGTATTCATTCTATGCATTGCAGTGCATTGGAGGGACCAGTGCATGGATTAACATGCATAAGGGAACCATTAGAAATGAATGGGACTTTCCTCAAAACATATCTACGACACGTGTTATCACTCACACTAATGCCCCGTACACAATAAGAAAATCGTCCAAAACATTTTGCGGAACCGCTGATCGAATGATTTTCTCTTCGTTAATGAGCAGGATGTTTTAACCTATAACGATATTTTGAACGAAAAACTCCGGTTGAACAGCAGTGAAAAAGTTTGTCGTTTCGCATACGAACGACCAATTATCAATGCGGTGGTATGACGGTCGTATGAAAAAATTTATCAAGCGCTATCACGCATGAGCAAAAACAGAAGATGACCCAAATGTTTATGTCCAAGAAATTTTCGTAAACACGAACAAAAAATCCAAATGTTAAAAGTAGATCGGCCTAATGAGATAATGAAACCAGAATTCTGCATTATTATATTTTATGTATCACTATTTATGTATATAGATAATGTAATAAACTATATTATACTCATTGCTGGTAATTGTTGTGTATATCCTAGATTCCTAGATTGTAAACTCGAAAGAGTAGGGCCCTCTAACCCCTCGTGTGCTGTTTGTTGTTGTACTGTTTCATGTATTGTCCCCCCCTCTATTGAACAGCGCTGAGCAAACCCTTTGGCGCTATATAAACTCGATGTAATAATAAGAAAATATCGCTCGTTCTGGCCGGAAGGGCGTGGCTGCAAGGTCACATGCACACTGCATCACTTCCACTTGTACAGAAGACGTCAACACTACGTATCGCCTGACAAACGATTTTTTTAGATTGGTTAATGTGGGCCACGATTTCAACCAACGAACGAATGCCTCTCGGTCGTCGGATGACTGATTGGTCGATTTTCTAATCGTGTATTCCCACCTTAAGGCTGAAGTACATTAAGCAAAACTCACACATTCTTGCACACGTAGCTTCCGCAATTTATCTAGTGAATCTCCCAGTTCATACTTGAGGTAGTCCTCCTGCACACGGGATGTTTTTACAGCGGCTGTTTTTGGCTTTTGACATTTTTTTTCTACAGCAAGTAAACCCCCCAGCATGTTATCCTATGTGTCCATGCACACATAGACTGTAATCAACGTTTTTTGGCAGGAATGTTTTTTGGCTGGAAAAAACCCCAGAACTAGTGGGTTTCTTGAGTTTTTTAGCTGTAAAAACACTCTAACGCCGAAAAACGTGGTAAAATGCCACAAAACGGCATTTTTGGACTTTTTTTGACCAAAAAAAATGGGAAGGAATGCTAACGAAACACAAACACGGTAAACCGCAGCTAAACGCTAATGCAAAAACGCTACAAAAAGCTGCAAAAATCACGTATTTAATGTGACTTTACACAGCTAACATTACCAGTGTTATCAAAACGCCCCGTGGGCATGGAGCCTTAAAGTACACCTGTCATGATTCATAACAGTTGCCATTGCTAACCTCCATCTGAAAAATAGATTCATGGATTTCATGTTGACCATTTAGATTTGCTGAGGTGCATGTGGCCAGTGGAGTTAAAACTCCTGATCAGCGTTCCTATTGGAGACAGTGACTTATAGTATTGAAATTAAAAGATCAGCATGACAACCAGGCAACCTGTATTTTCAGGAAGTGTTCAGCATTGGGAGCCCATGTTTTTCCTTTAAAGAACAAGGGTCATCTGAGAAATATGGAGGCTGTCATTGCTGGCTTCCCTCTGAAAATGTCAGTTGCCTGGCTTTGGTTTCAATACATTTGAGTCAGTCTTGAAACAAGAATACAGCAAATGAATGTCAGATTTTTGGGGGGTTTATTGACTTAAAAGTATTATATCTGAAGCATAAATGTGGCAGCCATGGAACTAGCATTTTCCAGAGACCTGCAATGGCCACCGCTGATTTACTCATCACTGTTTTTATTTGTGTATCTGATAAGGATTCTGCTGACAAGTGTTTCTAAATACTGAATTAAATTAGGGATATCAGAATTTCATTGCTAGTGTTGACAATCATTTCTTTCTCTGTTGGGGCTAATTCTTCTTCTTCCTTTTAGGCACTTTGCCTAGAAAGTACAAAAAGGAATTGTTAGCGGTAAAGCTGAGGAATCGACCCAGCAAGCAAGAATTGGAGGACAGGAACATCTTCCCGCAAAGGACGGATGAGGAGAGGCAGAAGATAAGACAGCAGATTGAAATCAAGCTTTCAAAGTAAGTGAATGGGTGCAACAGGGGAAGGAGTCTGTATAAAGAATGTTCTGAATAGTGCATATTGTCTGCAAAAAAACGACTGTGACTACTGATCTACATTATACTAGCTAGTTACTTGGACGGAGCTACAGGGTGTTACAGGGCGGAACACACAGGCATTTTCTTTGCCAGGTAGTTAGGAGGAGGATATATGGAAGATCCCACACACAGTCCAAGGTTCCAAAATATGTTACAAAGGCATACAGTAAAAAGCATGTGATGATTAAGGCCATTTTTTAGGATGACACAGGATTTTAGCTGTTTTTGCCTCTGTATGGATAAATCATTTTTTTCGTAGCCTTGGACTGTGTGTGGGATTATTTATATATACTCTGCAGCTTGGGTCACGGAAATCTTTCCTAGCACTGATGCACTCCTTCAGAAGAGAACAGAACACAACAGAGGTGGAGCAGGTATACATTTTGTATATCCATTGATTAGAGGGAGGCAAAAATTTATCTCCAGTGGTACTCATTTTGAATCATTGTATCATGAATAGCACAGGTGCTACCTTTGCTAGCTTGTATTTTTTTTTATAGGTGCAAGCCTTAAAGTTGTTGTAAACCTCAGACATGCAATATGAACAAAGCATATCCCTCTATAGTGTGTACTTGTCTCAATCCAGAGCACTAAGTGTCATTTCTGTCTGCTGCTTTGTTCCTCTGCTATCAGCATGAATCACTTCTGACAAGTTTTCCTGACACCAAGAGAAAAAAGGTGGCATGGGAGGGACCTCCAGCTGATTGACAGCCTTAACTCGTTCCTGTGTGCTGTGTGAAGGGGATGTGTCCCTTCCCTCCAATGAGATCTCCGTCCCCTTTTTTCTGACAGCTCAGACAAGCTGTAAAAATTCTGGACTTTGAACAGATGTAGAGAAGAGAAGGCTGCAGATAAACAGGTACAACTTATGTAGGAAGATTTGTTTCATCTCTGTGTATCACCTAAGGCCAGTCACTTCACTGGGTATATGTAAGGGTTTACAACCACTTTAAGGCTATCAATTTGATCCTTCTTTATTTCTGCAGTAACTGAAATGAAACAAACATTTTCTTAAAGGATTATTATTAAAGGGACCTTTTCTTTTTAACTATAGGATTATCCACGTTTGCATCTCTGAATAATGAAAATATAAAGTTGGTGCATCCTCTGAGAAACAGATTTCCTGATATCACTTACTGCAACAGAGCCCTCGTCAGTGGTTATGTTGTTCCTGCATGTTAGTTGGCAGGTTGCGTGAGCAGAGCAGTTTCCATTGTGTGGATCAGAGAGGTGTGGATTATTTCCCAGCATGAGTGACTTTTATAAGTGTAGAACAGTTTATTTTGAGGAACATAGTGGACAGTTTTGTGGCAAGAGTATAAGAAATGGATTCTGAGTGTGTGACTTATCTTGGAATGTTGGTAGCTTACTTTTGTGCCAATGGCAAGCTGGGTTTCGCCTAGTTAAATCTTACTGTAATACATTTTTGTTTCGGAGGCTTTTTTTAATTAAAGTTTTATAGACTTGCAAGATATATAAACTGCGAGAAAGGAAAAAAAATAACAGTCAGGCAGAAACAAAAGAGAAAATAACGGTGGCTCAAGCATGTCTAAACCTTCAATGGACAGAGAGTGATGCATAAATTGCAGGGCACTTGGCACAAACATTCGCAAGTGTGCATGAGCTAGGACTCCATAAGAATAGAAACTGTTGCACTGATATGAACTGTATCATTCCATATTTGAAAAATAGCTAAAACAATTTATTTGCCGGAAATAGTATATGCAACGACTGTAGAGTCAAGTAATTTAAATTGTGACCTGCATCTCAAATACCAGCAGTAAGCCACATGTGACATAAAATGATGTTTTACATATCAATGGTATATTGCACTCCTCAGGCAGTTGCCTCTCAATCCCTGTCAATTGAGGAAAGTGAAACCACTAACAAAATTGCTGGGACCGGAACAATGTGGCACCAACACCCCTATTTATGACAAATGGTACAAAACTTTTGATGAAACTTTTAAGGTGCTAATATAAATATATAACATGCAATATATTTTAAAAAATCTCAGTATTCTTTATTATTGTCATTTAAAAGTTGATCTCTTAATCCATAAAACACACCACAGAGTGTATGTGTTGAAGGAGATTGGGATATTGTAATATATTAACATACTTTTGAAGGCCTACAATGGTGTGATTTAACGTTCAAGAGATCAGCTTTTAAATAACCATAATAAAAGTTACATGTTTCTTTTATATACATTGTCTGTGTCATAAATTTGTATTGGCACCTTAAAATTTCCATCAACATTTTTGTGCCACCTGCAAGGAAAAGTGAAGATGTCATTAAGGATAGGGTGGGAGCTAACTTATGTAAAGTGTCCATTATTTTAATCCAACAGGACCAAAGGACAACAGGAGATTCATCTCCTTCATCCATTCTTTGAACAATGGTGGGGAAGAGAAGATCTCTTTCCTTGTAGTGACTAGGACCTTGGGTACAATGTCAGCCACTGGTCAATCCATAGTAGTAATGTAAAAAAATCCCAAATACAAGTAGTAGAACCATTCAATATAGAGACACTAAAGACCTAGTTTATGGTATGAGTTCTGGTGTGCCAGTAGCCACATCTAGGACAACAATGATCGCTCTGCAGCCCAACACTATGAAGGAACTTTGGGGTTCATTAAGCCTTATGCAGGATTAATTGGTGAACCTGTTAAATTGAGACAGAAACTTTCAGGAGTAATTGTAGGATCTCATCCCAGTATTTGATATAGTACTCAAGTTTCCACCTATGTTGCTGCGTGAACCTGGATAAATACCAAAGCAGTAAACGAGCATACAGATAAGAGATCAAACCCCTGGTAACACATGTCGGAGGTACAGTATTGAGAATCAGAGTTACTTCAATGTCATCACATTTATATGGAAAAATAAAAAACCTAGAATATCCTATGACCTGATGAGTAGAGGTAAAGAGAAAGGGGGATTGGGAGTGCCAGATTTTAGGAGATACTATAACGCTGTAGTTTTAACAAGAATTTATGACTGGACACACAATATAAGGGGAAAAAGGTGGGTTAAGATAGAGAACGAACTGAGTGGAGTTGACCTGAGTAGAAGCATATGGGCACCAATACAATATAGAGGTTTAAAAAATACCACGAGTGTATATACACTGAATGTTCTAAAGGTTTGGGATAATTTACATAAACGTATGAAGTGGGATTTTAATTCACAATTAATGTCACTAAGAAATATGGAATATTTTCCACCAGGTATAGAGGGGATTATGGGAAAATGGATTAAAAAGGAAGACATTCAATTAAGGGATATTATGGATGGACAGAAATTGAAAACATTAAAAGATTTAAAGAAAGGTGGAGGGGAACTTTTTATTAAGATCGATGAGTGGAAATACCACCAATTAAAACACTTTGTTGAGAGTCTTCCGAAACCTATGAGAGGGAGAAAGGATTGGAACTTATTTGAGAAGTTGTTGGAATCACGGGGAGAGGGGAAACGGGGCACGGCAAAAATATATAAAATTCTCACTGAATTAGTCACAGAGGTAAAACCAATGTATATAGAAAAATGGGAAAAGGACTTGGGGACAGAGATAGATGAGGATAAACAGAGGAAAATATATAGACTCACACTGAAAATATCAGCATGAGAGAAGTGGAGGTAAATTATAAAAGTTTGGTAAGATGGCACATCACACCAAAGGTAGAACATAAAATGGGTATAGAGAGAACACAAGAGTGCTGGCGTGGGTGTGGAGGGATTGGTACGTGGTTTCATATTTGGTGGGAATGCCCAAGGATTCAAAGTTTTTGGGAGAAAATGGTCAACTTAATAGAGAAAATCTCAGGGATAAAGATAGGATTAGATCCAGAAGTGTGTTTGTTACATAAGACAGATATACCAGTGAATAAATACAAGGATTCGGGTATATGGTACTATGCAAATGCAGCAAAAGGGTTGATACCTAGATTCTGGCATAGTTTAGAGGTCCCGAGAGAAAAAGATTGGGTAGAGAGAGTAAATCAGATTAGTAAAATGGAGAAATTATACTATATCCAAGAGGGTAAGATGGAGATATATAATAGGAGATGGGAGAAATGGGAGGATTTTGTACTTCAAATGAATATATATGAAGCAGTAGAAATGAGAAGAGAAGAGGGGTAGGATACGCTTGCTTTAGACAGAAAGTAGGGAAGAACGCAGAGTGGGGGGGTTGTTTGGGGGGGAGGAGGAAGGGGGTAATGTTTTAAGAAGGGAAAAATAAAGGATAAGAAGGAATTGTGTATTTATTATGAAAAAGATGAAAGTGTATTGTTATCTTTATGAAAAATTAATAAATATTTAAATAAAAAAAAAAAAAAAAAAACAGAGTTACTTCAATGTATTTTTTTTTTTTAAATCAAATTCAGTGCCTGCAGGGCATGTCAAAGCTGTAAGTATTGATAGAAAGCTTTCTTGATAAGTCCAGATTCAAAGCAGAGTTGGACTCCATGGCTCCTCTGTATACATTGTTGACATGGTGTGCATATGTGCCCATTTCCCTTGAGGACATATATCCAGTTTTTAAATTTCTGGAAAGAAATCATTAAGCCACAGGGCTTACTGACCTACAGTCAGAAGGCCATTGGTACCCGGAGTCTTGTTATTAGGAAAACTTGCCATTGACTTCTCTAATTCCTGAAGTGTCACGGGGAGTCTAGAAGTTCCGTATCCTTATAAGTCAGCTGTGGGAGAAGGAAGCTACCTAAGAAGATCTTAAACTCCTCCTTAGTGTACTGTGCCCTGGCCACAGGCAAAGATTGGTGGAAATCACTAAAGAAACATCATTAGGTGATAATATGCCTGCAGAATTGGTGACAGGCCTGCTAACATCAGGCAGCAATGAAGGTTTTAATGGTAAGGACAGAGCAAGAGTAATCAATGGCGTGGTGCCCCACTACTCTTGCAAATTTG